TGATAAAAGGTTATTGACCTCGTTGTCTGTTCTTAAACCCTTTAGCTTAATGGTTTTGATCTCCGCTAATTGCGCATAGTGGGGTGCAGTAATTATATAGCCCACTCGTCGTGTAGATCAAATAATCATGGCATGGCTAGCGTATGCTGAGCAATCGTGGATCAAGGCGATAGATTTTGTAACAGCGGTAGAACGCCTTAAGCAAAAGTTTTCGGCGTTAGTATTTGACGCCGAACATGAAGCAATATATGGCAATGGTGAATATAGTGAGGAGGAGTGTCTGGCCATCGCTAAAAAATACGAGTTGGGCGAAGAAATATGTGAGAGTTATTTAAACAGTAAAATATGTGAAAAATGTGTAGTAGTACGCAGATTGATAAAGGCCAATTTAGAACAGTTTATTAGTGAGTTAAGTGATTGGACTGAAAATGAAGAAGAGAGTTACAATTGACGAAACACGGAATCAAGTGTACATAATGGTAGCGTGGTCGTTTGCTTACGGTAAAGCACGAAGAGGTTCGTGGGAAACAGTCGCGCTCGATAGATTTCGTTTCCGAAATAAAATCGAACAACTTAGTAGAGTTTTGTCTTCGGTATTAGAGAAAAGTCATCGGGACAAAGTCTATCGTGAACGACTCGCCTCCCCTCCACAACGTTAGCAATATAAGTGTAACTGCAGTAGTGCTTAAAATCATTCCGACAGCGTGTACGCGAACTGGTTAAAATGGATCTTGATACACTCAACAATACCACTTTCTGCAAGCCGTTCAAAAATGTAAAAGACCTGGAGGTGGGGGAGAAATATCGAATCGTCGGCATCGACACAATCAACACAAAATATGGTGACCGGGTAGTCGTGGAGACTGGAAACTTTAAATCTATGCTTCCCTTACGTTTCTACAACTACTTTAAGGAGGATAATCGTTTACAAACATTCCAAGCCTCCTTAGCCAATAAAGAGGTATACATAACAAGTGCTGGATCTGCAGGGCAAACGACTAACTTAAAGTTTATGTAAATAAAATATTTGTGTATTAGAAATGTAAATAAACATGGTATATATAAAAAGGAACGGATTCGTTTTATTTCTTTCTAGAAGGCTTCAGTAGATATTTCCGTTTCCTGTTTCAAGGTCCGAGCACACAAGGTAAACGGTTAGAGAATGGCCTATTCTGGACCACTCTTATTGATTTTTTATCGATTTTTGAAGCGCTATCCTGATTTATTGATTGATTATCGATTTCGGAGGCAACATGCAAACTCACTGTCCTTGTGTTATTGGTGATTGTCAATTTTGGGGGCATAGATATGTGTCTGTTGTGTGTTATTGATTTTAGGGCGTGTGTATAGCGGAATGGTATGTTTCCTCCTCGTGTTAATGGGAACTGAACTCGGGACATTCGCGCCATTTTAGTGGGAGTGTGTCATTGACCACTTTGACTGCAATTGTTGGAGAAGCAGGACTTCTGGAGCTAAAGTTTGATGTCTTCAAAATACGGTAGTGTAATTGACTACAATTGTGAGTTAATAGCCTGGAAAGCTAACCTTGAGCTCTCACGATGCTTACCGAATGCCTTCGGAACTTTTTGTGTTAGAGGGGCCATAGCGAATAGCTAGGGCTCTCTTGTATACCTACAGGATTTTGTTACTGTGGAAGTTCGTCGGTGTTGCAATCGGAGCTCTACGTCGCAATCTTTTAATCTGTATGAATAAGGCTGTCAACTCAGATTGGCCGCTAGTGTTGTGGGTATTGATCTAAGAGGGAAGCGACCTCTGAAATTAAAAGGTTGTTGGTCTCAAAGTATGAGACAATAGTGTTAAGTGTCATTGATCTCTATTCTGAGTCAATAGCCTCGAAAACTAAATGTCGTTATCCTCAAGTTGGATAGCATTGGCCTCTAATGGAAGTCAGTGTTCTCTAGCGCTGCAGGTGGTTAACCTTGATCGGTAGCCGTAATATGTTGGACGTCATTGAACTCTAGGTGTGGGCCACTGCCGCTAAATGTCGTTAACGTCAAAGGATCGACAGCTCAATACTATGCGGTCGATTGCAAATGTGCTAGTGGTGGGGACTGTATGTGTTAAGAATAATATTAAGAAACCGTTTGTGGATAGTATATTTCAAACAATCGCGGAGACATCAGACAAGAATCGTGCGCCGCAATCTATCGCTGCAAATATTCGAACTCTCGCAGTAGAGTTTCAAACGTAGTTACTTTAGGATCAGTCCTGACAGAGTTTCAAACCTAGTTACCTTTCTGGTGACTTTTTGATTTAGAATCGATCCTATATAACGAGAGATGGAGGACTCTCAGACTTTGCAATCGATACAAAGCTCAATTACAACACACATAAACAGTTTTCCCCAAGCATTCGATCTCCTTAAAATGAAATTAGTTGACACTAGTTTAAGTAAACTGCGAATACTAGAACATATTATAATCCAACACGACAAATTTGTGAGGAATGCTAGAGTTATATTAATTTAGCTAGTGACGTACATCCAAACTTTCCAAAAATATGATAGTGAAATCGCACTAATATAAAATCCCTAGAAAAGTTACTGGAGGACCGACTCTAAATCACACTTAACTAACGCCCTTAGAACAAAAAAGTACTAGAATTGAATGTCAAATGCCAAATGGGAGGCTAAAAAGTCATTGACAAGAACCCCAGCATGCAATCGAAATCAAACTGGTACTTTCGAAAAATACGTTAGTGATGATTAATTTCGGACCTAGCGCAATGCATTTTCAGGTGGTCTAGAATAGAACTCACTAGTTTGATCATCATTGCAGCAGTCAGTTGGAGGGTTATAAAAACACACAAAAATGTTGTTTATTTTCAAACAAATATCCACACAAAATTTTGGAATGCTCTACCTCGTAAAGGAAATTTTCGACACACGATCCACAAGTGCCGCTTCGCAATAGTTCTGGTTCTGCAAAAACTGCTATTAGAATAAACTTTTAAAAAAATTTTCAGTCACCTTTTTATAATTATACCCAAACGTTTGCCCAAACGCGTCGGTTGCAAAAATGTTTCATTGACCGGACATACGAGGTTGAAATTTAATCCCTTATTCACCAAAAGGAGTCCGCAATTGTCCGCCCCATCGCCGCCTGGCCGTAGTTCCAAAATTCGTATTTAAACATTCTAGAAGAAAAATTAGTTAGTTAATGTGGCACGCAATTGATGATGGAGTGATGTTTAGAATGAAGGAAAATTTAAAAATGCAGATTTTCCCACCAATTAGCCCAGCTTTGAAAAATGGAGAGCTTACGTTTATAAAGCCAGTTTGAAACGCTACAGGCTACTTAGCAATTTGAAGTTTTTGTAAAATTCCCTTTCCTAGCAAATAGCCAGTTAACAGCAGATTGAAAAAAGTTCGCAATGAACATTCCATTGAAAAATGTCGGTCGCTTAATAATTTGCGTTTGGTAGTCTTTATGCAAATAAATGTCCATCGTAACTAAATTGTGAACTACCTTACGTGATAATTATACACTTCTAAAGAAGCTGAATGTGCATACCTGGTACGTCTGTTAACGCCGTTCACACTGAAGAATTCCATAGAAAAGACTTATGTAGGTATGGATGTTTTTTATAGGGATTCGATCCGTATATTTCCACTGGCGGCCCCTTAATAAAATCGTAGGCGTAGGTATGAAATTAGAAAAAAGAAAAATATGTAATATCGTATACAGTCCGATTTGAAGAGCTTATTTATTACCTTTGCTAATGCATGACTCCTTATTTGCCAAAAATCCCAAACGACATATTTATAATCCAAATTGTTTCACAAATGCACAAATTTATTTCGCCCATCGTATGTACTGTCGCGAGAGCGCGGTAACGACTCCTCTCTTTTTTAGATGACGCAATGAAATCTTAAGATAATGCATTGCGGTTCCACGTAATCTGCATAAATGTAGGCATTATGTGCAGTAGGAAAACTCGTAATACGAGGGATGTCCAAATTTTTACAAACAGCGCGAGCCATGCCTGCAATTAACTAACTAATTGGCCACTTTCCGCTGTCGATACAAAGATACTGCATTGAACCGTACATCTAAAGTTAAGGGATCCCAAATTGCGCATTTTTCCTAATTCATAATAACATACGAGTACATTTTTTCGATATTTCAGTATGTACCTAAGCATACCTATACGTATTAGGTACACCACCATGATTTTCGTGTTTGAACCGTTGGATAAGTGGTTTCTCGAATGGCAGGATAAATTTATGGTAGACCTCTTTTTTTGCAAACACACGCTGCTAAAAAGTACCTCTAGTGTTCACCCTTCGCCCCGTAAGCTGAACCAACTAAATTACTAAACAATTGCATCAGTTGACGTTGACATCATACGCGGTTGTATGTACCTTAAAAGTGGGGATAAAACGTATGGGTTATGTATCTGTGTATCCCACATGAAGAGGGTACCTACCTACAAAAGTATCATATGCCGAAAAACCGATAGTAAAATGCACGATATCTTTTATATCGAAGTTGGGATACATTAGTGCCGTATATGTATGTGCATTTATTGTATGCGGATCGTTCGATACAGTATACATTTTTTTTTTCTAAGTGTAAGCTTAATTTATGGCATTCAACGTTACTAATCATGTTTTCACGTATTAGTCACGGCCAAACTTCAAATTACGGTTGATGGGAACTTTTACGGTAAAGTTTTATAAATCGTATCGAAATAACAGTGGAGGCATGCTATTTAAAGAACTGGAAACGGAAGAGGTAACAGGTGAAGAGATTGAGGCTGTGGCAATACATGAGCTCTTAATTTTTGAAAGCTGTGATAATTCCATCAACACTTCCGAGGGCTTCTTTTTGCGTAGAGGAACCCGCGCCACCTGATTTTGTTGGCGTTGATGCAAGTCCTTTGGAAAATATTGTAAATATCTGAGGTAGTTCCCATATAACCAGCGCCAATCATCGCGGTCTACCGCTTTCAACGTAGGAGTTGGAAATATAGGCTGTAGCGATGCTTTCTATCAGTCCAGTAGTAGTTCTCGAAACAGTTGGTGAATCAGTAGCAGAAAACTGGTTATCGATATTGAGGTTCAAGGATTTAAAACATACAAAACGTCATTTACTCCAAAGGATTTAGCGGTATTTAATGGGCACCAACTTGCAGATTTTATGTTCAAACCTCCGTTTTCATTTAGCAGCTTAGATGTGAGCTACCAGAGAGAGAGAGAAGCAATCTGGCCGATTAAATGGGAAGAAGGACATACGCAGGCACACTTATTTTCAACTATAGTGCGCCTGCTGGTATCACCAATGGACGCTACATATGTCAAGGGAAAGGAGAAGGTAGAATTTATACGAAAAACCTTATCGCAGGATGTCCTCGAGATCAACGAGAAACCTGCACTACCTAAATTACAATCCAACTGTTTATATCATTCCCATTCTCAATGTCATTGTGCATTGTCAAACGTGTACTACATACATAACAATCTTACAATGACATAATTTTTTACTAAATAAAGCGGAAAAAGTATATAACATTTATTCTTTCTCTTAATACCTGTAACCGACAGCAAACCTTAAGAATTACAGTTTTTTGGGCAGCAGAGTTCTTAGTGACCATCGGCCTCCCAAGAAGAGAGAGATAAGCATCTTTTTTGAGACGGAAGCGTGTTAAGTTTGATCCAGGTAAAATCCTGGTTTGCTGCAATTATGGGGATTTAGTGAGCAACCCGTTCAATTTATATTAATTCTGTTTTACCAGGTAATGAAGACCTAGTTAACTATGTACAATCCCTTATCGACTGTTGTTCTTGCCGCTTACACTACGAACACTTCGAAATCTAGTTCAAGAAATTTTTGACGTTTGACTGCTTTCCTTTTAAGCCCTGTACCTATGACTCCGTTGACTTGAATTTTAAAAAGTCTTTAAAATCAACAATATACTTACGTGATGCTATATGAGAATGATTGTAACTCTTTGCTAGTACTCACTAATTATTTATAGACGAGTGCATAAATGATTGTAGGCTATATATATATCAGGGTTCAGTGGAAGAACAATCTCTGGAGATTGAACTGCGCCCTGAGGTTATCTTATAGCAAGTAAGATAATAAAGGCCATTATTATTATTATTCTTATTATTTAAATTTTGATCACTCTTTTACAGGATGTTTTAGCTGTTAAGCTGGATTCACATGCATACGAAATCCGACGATACTGTTTTCCGAAAGGCGTATGATTGGTCAACAATTTCAAATGTCATGAGGGGAGCGAAAGCCGCATGACAGACTCATTCGACGATGCCGAGGGAAAATTCTCAGTAGAAGAAGTACAAATCCAGTCGCACGTCACGATCGTCCACATCGCACCACAGCAGGAAAACTGCCTGTGATAAATACAAAGACTTCGTGATGGCAGTTCCGGCCAAGCACGTATAACCTGATTAACCCGGACATTCATCTTAGCGGGGAGGAGTGATATAAACCATTGAAATAAAAGACTAAGGAAGGAGCTTATGTAGCATTAGCCAGGACCCTATAGGCTTCTCAATATGGCGGACGTTCCTACGCACAGTGGCGTAAATACATAAATAATAAAATAATTTAGTATATTTAATTTTTTTGGCGGATAGTACTGAAATTACATACATTTTACTACATACAGATTCATTACTTCTTTGATAAACAAAATCCATCTCGCCATTCACTGTCTAAAGGAAATGTGAAAAATAGATGTACCTATTTCAATATGTTGTTTTACGCCTATTCCTACGGCAATGTATCACAACCAGTAAAATGAATGAAATTAAGTATCGTGAAAGAAGACCATTTAAGAAATACTAACATAGTTATCACCTATGAAATGTCATTTTCGTTTCTTCTATAGCTTTTGACTTTGTTATATTACACGATTTACAGCTAACCATTGTGTTTCATTTTATCGTAAATGTCAATTAATTGTCAAATTCGGCCATATTGAGAAGCCTAATTGAATCCCGACAAGCATACGTTATATGAATGTAACCCTCCTTCCTTAGTCTTTTATTTCAATGATATAAACACACGGTAACACAAGGCGGCTTTGATTTTGGCAGACAGTTCTATTTTTATGTCAAACGTTTAAACACGCATTTTCGTTTTTCTTAAATAATAAAGTATTCTAAACTATCTTAATTTACGAATACTTCAAGTTTCAGCACATTAGTTCTTGAATCTCAACTTGTTAGAGAAATTAATTTTGATCAAGTGCTAACAACCTTTGCTAATATAAGAAAATCCGAAGAGTTAAATTGTAATGTGTTTTTGGTGAACTGGAACAGGTAGTTGGGTAACAGGTAACAGGTAAACTGGTGTAACTGGTTAACAGGTAACAGGTTTCTCAATAAAAGCTCTTTAGATTAACAGCTGTTCAATTAGAAAGCTGTTTCATTTGAAAAACGGAAACAATAAGCACTGGAAAGGTGATAAAGCCCCTATTGATATCGTCAAAGTTGAGAAAACAATGTTTTAACAAACGACATTTACTGAAATCTACCGCGCAAATTCTACAAAAAGATGTTTTGCTCCAGATGGATCGTCAATACCTTACGGTTATCTGTCGCGAAGATTTGTAAGTGCAAAATGGTCGTTTCAGAAAAGATCATTATATATTTTATGATGCAGTGAAAACGTATTTATTGTTTCCGTTTTTCAAATGAAACAGCTTTCTAATTGAACAGCTGTTAATCTAAAGAGCTTTTATTGAGAAACCTGTTACCTGTTAACCAGTTACACCAGTTTACCTGTTACCTGTTACCCAACTACCTGTTCCAGTTCACCAAAAACACATTACAATTTAACTCTTCGGATTTTCTTATATTAGCAAAGGTTGTTAGCACTTGATCAAAATTAATTTCTCTAACAAGTTGAGATTCAAGAACTAATGTGCTGAAACTTGAAGTATTCGTAAATTAAGATAGTTTAGAATACTTTATTATTTAAGAAAAACGAAAATGCGTGTTTAAACGTTTGACATAAAAATAGAACTGTCTGCCAAAATCAAAGCCGCCTTGTGTTACCGTGTGTTTATATCATTGAAATAAAAGACTAAGGAAGGAGGGTTACATTCATATAACGTATGCTTGTCGGGATTCAATTAGGCTTCTCAATATGGCCGAATTTGACAATTAATTGACATTTACGATAAAATGAAACACAATGGTTAGCTGTAAATCGTGTAATATAACAAAGTCAAAAGCTATAGAAGAAACGAAAATGACATTTCATAGGTGATAACTATGTTAGTATTTCTTAAATGGTCTTCCTTCACGATACTTAA